TGTGTGTGTGTGTGTGTGTGTGTGTGTGTGTGTGTGTGTGTAAACATAATGCGGGTTTTGTGCCTTGACAGCCTCCCCACGTGAGGTTTGTGAGAAGGTGAAGTCCTGTGACTTCACCCCAAGATGCAATAAACACAAAATGACTTCCTGAGTGACTCTTCAGATTTCCTTCCTAGAAACGAGTTGATGAATTGGGGGCGGGGTGGGGGGCGGGTGGGGATGCTGAAAAATCAATTTAAAATCACTTTTCATTAAAGTATGTAATGGATAATGTACACAACCTCTCCTGTTTCCTCTTAGTGTTGTATATATTTTGACTATTTATTAGATTAGGAAGTCGTGTTTTATTCATCAACTGAGCCAAATGTCTGTGTGCAATTGTGTTTCCTTTACCTTTCTTTGTAAAAATTTTGTACGGCATCAATGAGTGTAAAAAGAAAATCACTGTTTTTCTAAACTTCTCGGAATTAAGGATTGTAAATATCGTAGGTTCTTTTTCTGTGTGAGATGCGCTCTACTGTTTTATAATGCTGTAACTTGTACAAATGTTGTATATTTATTTTCCGCTTATTTAATGTCTTACGTTCTTGAAAGTGTTGACATCCCTGTCCCCCACGCCCCTGCCATCCCATGAATTGCTTCAGCTCCTGAGGTGGGGGTGGAGGGGGCGGTGACTGGGTCCGCTTTGGCTCCCGGCATTCACTTCTTGGATTCTGCCACCTTTCTGATGAAATGAGTATTTTTGCTGCCCATGAGATACCCCAGGTGTGGTAGGCTGGAAGATTGGACTCTAAAAAAACACCCATCAAACCCATTTGTTGTAAAGCAGCTGGTTTCTGAAAAGAACAGATTTACCAATAAGTTGGCCATGTCCTTAGAGAAGTATTATCAGCAGATGGGCAAGTGTTTTGTTTGTTTGTTTTTTAATTGAAAGAATATCTTTGACAACCCAGTGTTGAGAGAAATACAATCCTGCCACCTCTTGAGGTGCTGCTGTGTGGCTGTCCTGAGTAGGGGGAAGGCAGGTAGGGCCTGTGTCTAGAGAATTTGCCAAGCCAGCTTGTCTCACCCGGACGCCTGCTGGCCGCTGTCCCCACCAGCGGAGTGCTTCTTCTGCCGAGGTGTGTGGACTGAAGCGAGGAGCCAAGCCGTTCACCCCCTTCCCCTGGGCACTGCGCTAGTCCAGCCCGCTTCTGCAGGCCTGTGCCCTCGCTCCAGCTCTCCATTGCCCTCAAGAAGAGGTCAGAGTCCCCACTGGCCTGGGTGTCACGATGGAAAAAGCTCACTGACGCTCTAGGGGGCATGTGACTTCATGTGGAAGGCTCTGTCCTCCCCGCTGATTTGGCCTGGTGCCTGTGTGGGTAGACAACGGCGTGTGCGCGGGTCGTGTCCACACGTGTCGCCAAGTCAGCGGGGGCTCCCTCCCAAACAGCGCTGCACGAGGCATCCTCCAGCTCCCGGCGAAGTACTTGGCTGCACTTGTTTGGGAATCTCGAGATGTAGCAGTTCAAACAGTCTTCAGTGTCTGGGTCCTCTGACCGCTGGTGACTGTAGCCACACCTGTCGGGCACCCTTTAGTAAGTAGCACTGATCTCTGTGTAGCGCCCCGCCGCTCACATGCCCAAGGACCCCGCGTGTGTAGCGTCTGTCCTGCAGCTCCTCTGGCTTCCTTTCTGTTTTGCACTGATGAATTTTGACAGGGTAATCACCACTGTACTTGTGCAATACTGCTGTAAATAACTGCAGATTTTTTTTAAGACACTCCATCTTTTATGTTCCCTAATGAATTTTATATAAATAAAACTTGCAACTAGCTTTTGTGAACTGTTTGATGTTGTTTTCTTAAAAAAGAAAAAAAAAAAAAAAAAAAAGGCCAAAGGCCAACCACTGAGGGTGAGTGTTGCTGGACACACCCGCCTCCCATCAGTCAGAACACATTAGCTGTACGCAGATCTTGTAGCTTCTTGCTTGACGATGAGAGTCTGCGTGGTATAGTTAAAAGCAAACTACGTTGTACAGTTTTTGAAGTGGATGGCGGGACATCCTGCCCATGGAGTCAGCCATGACTCAGTACTTGGGAGGAAGAGATAGATGGGGAGCAGACTGTTCTCTGGTCACCTCAGAGAAGAACTGCTAATGTCTGTGATTTGGGGGTTATCTGCTGGGTGTGCACTAAATTAGGAGTGAGCAAGAGACAACTGAGGCATTTTGGGGGGAATACAAGTTGTAAGGTCCGTGTGAACAAGTTCAGGCTTTGCCCATTTGGATCTGACATTGGTGCTGGGAAAGCGCTGAACTGTTTTAAACCAGGGATCCATTCATGCCGTTAATTAAGCAAGCAGCATACAAATGGGGCTTTGTAAAATTCACCAACCTGCTGCAAAGCAGATTGTTGGGGCTACCACCCTCAATCCTCATCCAGGTAGGAGCCTGCATTTTTCCAGAGCCCTTTTCCTGCATTGGGGGTGTGGACATGTGCACTCATCTAGGCATTTTGCATAAATGCTGGTAACTGTATCCATTACCTAGCAACCGGTCATAGATCTTTCTAGAATGATTCCATTTCACCCTGACTACTGCACTGGATACTGAGAACGGTGCTCCGGGGCCTGGCTCACCAGCAGCAGCCACCAAGAGTGTTCACTCACCCTTGGAAGCTCAGTCGGTGACATGCTGGTATCTGCCTGGTGTGTGAGGAGAC